TCAGAGAAATAATATTTTTTTAAATTACTATATTTTATAATTTTTGTTTTTGTCCTCATTAAAATACTTTATAATTAAGTTTTTTATTGAACGAGAGTAAAATTTTTGATGTATATATAAAAAGACAATAAATTGATATTAATTTTACATTTTTCATTCTAATTTTTTTATACTGACAGTAAAAAATCATATAATATTTTTAAAATATAACCATAAAGACCGTTTACAATTTGTAAACACACAAATATTTTCGTTGTAATTTATTTTATCTTGTATTAAGAAAATGTTGAGTTATGATTATAGTAAACTAAAATCAGTGTTGAAAATATAAAGTTTGCAACGCCTTGGACAAAGTTGGCCCAATCATGTGAAGGGAGTAAAAAATTTAAAGGGACAATGGCGTTTGAAACCACTACGTGTCAGATTAAACATCCATATCAATCTAACAAGAGAACGAGACGCGGTTGCCCGTAGGATTCTACTGTTGAAGAAAAATGATTTTTAATGATTTGAGGCATTCATATTACTTTTGATTTATTGATTTGGATTGATTTTAACTGATTTGAGTTCATGAATTTTAATAACATTTTCTCATCTCATTTAATTAGAAATAATAAGAAATATCTAATATTATCACACTGCACATCAATCAGTATATTAACATTAATAAATTGAGATAAATATATAATAAATTATTATATAAAATATTTTAATATAGAAATCACTAATTTTATTTTGGTAGTAACAATCTAAGATACTTAATTTTTATTTTTTATTCTTACTTTATTCTTAAACAAATTACTTTTAATATATTTATTTGTAATAAATTAAAAAATATATTGGTATAATAATAATAATAATAATAATAATAATAATATTTATAACAATAAATATATAAAAATAATAATTATAATAATAAAAATAATTTAAATAATTATAATATTTTAAATTATAATAATAATTATAATTTTTATTAAAAAATAATGTAATCATTTTTTAACTTTTTAATCATTTAATTCAATTAAATCACTTACAAATTTTCCTCTTATTTCTTAACCTATTTTCTTTTATTCAAACTATTTTATTTTTACTTTATTTCACTTCCTTCTTAACCTTTTTTTTTTTTTTTTACTTTCTCAATCCATCATCATTCGATCTTTACGCAATCATTCATACCCTATCAACACAACATCTCGTAGTGGAAGTAGGTAATCTTCCACTTTATGGTAGCCAATAATTTTTTCAGGCCTTTTTGAAAAATGGAAACAAATATGATTACCATTACTATCTCATTAACCACCCATAAAAAAAAAAATGGTCATACCTACCTCCCAACATTTTTAAAATCATATTGGTCCCTTAATAGACAGGGACATCATTTTAGAGGTATAATCAAATTTAATAAATTAATATATTTATAATATAATAAATTTATTATTAATAATATATTTTATTAAAAAAATAATAACATTATTATCATAATTACTTTTTTATTATAAATATAAAATATATTAAAAATATAAAATAAATTATAATTAAAAATAAGATTAAAATATAATAAAATGATTATTATTTAAAATTCACGTAGAAAATAAAAAAATTAAAATATATTATATTCTTTATAAAAAATATATATTAAAAAATGTTATCTTTATTTTTTTTCATTAAAATCTATTTAACTTAAAAATTTGATTGATTTTTCTAATTTTACCCATCAGATTATTTAAAAATAATAAATCTATTTTTAAATTAATTTTTTATTAGACTGATTAAATCTATTTCTAAACGACATTGCTTCTTGAAATTATCAAGTTGTAACAAGTAGAAGTATGCAACTTAACCTCCATTTATTAATTGGTTGCAAAACTTCAAAAGTTATTTTCATCAAAAGAAGCTTTGAAACTTCAAAAAAAAAAAAAAAAAAAAAAAATATATATATATATATATATATATATATATATATATATATATATATATATATATATTTTCGAAGACATATATGTACTTTGGTTGAAATCATAACAATAGTGCGAATAAGATATGGAACTTGTAAAATAGGAGCCCAGTGTACGAATAGGACCATGTGAATGGATTCACAAACTCGTCAATAAAGCATAGATAAGGACACTTTGTTGACCAGATAGACCCGTAATATATAATTAGCAATAAATTAATTAATATAATTCACAATATACGAAATAAAATAACAGGTCAAAATAAGACGGCTTCTATAACATACAAAAATAATATTGATTAAAATATATTTTTATTTTTTAAATTTAAAGTAAATCTGATTTTATGCTATTATATATAAAAATAAAATAATTTTTTTGAATTAAAAATATTATTTTCATCTTTAAACAGTAAAATTAAAAGCTAAAATACTTTTCTAAATTTTTTAAATTATTTAAATTTAACATTAAAAATTAAAATCGTATTTTTATTAAATTTAAGAAACTCAAATAAATTAGTTTTATTTGGAAAATTTAAAAACTATCTATACTAAATTTTAGGATTAAAACTTAATTGAATTACAAACATATATGCATATGTTAACTCTAACAATAATTTTTCATTGTAATTAAACTTGTATTCGTAAAGTTGGATCTATCTTTATTTTTATTTTTAGAAAGAAAAATCAAATTTAACCGGACAAGGAATACAATATTTATTCTAATTCTAATCTCGATTTTATATTTAAATATAAATTTTAAAATATTAATAATTTTTTTCTTATTATTTATACAATTATTTCTTCTATATTTTATATTATTTATTTTTCACTTTTTTTCTTCTTTTCAATCTCTTTAAATAATTAGCTTAATTTTATTTTTCTTATCTTTTACTCATTTATATATTTTTTAATCTGTTTCACTGTATTTATCTTTTTTCTTTTTCATTTAATTTGATAAATACAAAGTTAAAATTTATTTTTATTAAAATATATTATACCAATTTTAATAAAATATATTATTTTATTTTTAGTGTATTTTTATTAATTTTTTTACATAATATTTTTTGAGTTTTATTTCTTATTTATTATATATTAAATTTTATCATAATTAAATATTATATTTTAAAAAATTGACATGAATTAATAATTAAAATTTTATTATTTTATATTAATTAAATAAAAAAAATTATTAAATATTTTTTTATAAATTATATATTTTATATTTATTTTAATATTTTAAAAATAATTAATTAAATATTTAAATATATTGTTATAATATATAGTAATAACAATATTATAAATACTATGTTAAAATTATCAAATATTTTGGTTACATATATATTTTAATATAAATATAATAAATTAAAATATATAATTAATTAATAATAATCATAATTTTAAAATTATGAATAATTATTTATATATTAAAATATTATTAAAATTAATTTATTATAAATATAATTATTTTTTAAAATAATATAAAATATAAATGAATAGATGACTTCAAAAATCCTAAAATCTAACAATACTTAATTTCTAACGTGCATAAAATTCAGACATAGAACATTAAGAAAATCCTAGACTTTGTCGTAAAAAAAAATGTGTCGTTTTTTAATACAACGACCAAATATGGATGACAATAAAAATATATCTTTATATTTTTAAGAGATGATTTTAATAATGATTTAAATCAATAATATTTAAGATTTAAGCAAGTTTCAAGATATGATTTTATAAAGATTCTATTTAAGATTTAAGCAAGAATAAGATCATTCCCGAATATTAGATAGAATATTAAAATACTTGGATATAGAGGTACAAGTTGATCAATTGATATTATATATAAGTATCCAAAGTACGAGTGTGGTAAAATTTCGTAACATGACATTTTTTACTGTCAATCAATTATGATGCATCAAAAATGGAAAAACGATTTTTTCTCTGTCATAATTGATTATACTAATAACAAAGTTTAAATTTGAAAAATATATTCGTTTTGAAAAATAAATATTTTTGAATACATCCTGATTTTTTTATGATATTATTAATGACCAACGACTATTTTCTGATATTATTTTCCTATTTAAATGAGTTTTGATGAAAAATCAAATACACATAATTACATAATTCAAAAATACAATTTTACATTTATTCAATTTTAAGAAAAGAATTCCGAGCAAGACAATATAAATATTTTACACCTTCCGAGAAAATCTTCTTTTCTATCATCTTCTGCACTTTCATTGTTAATCACACTTGTTATTGGAGGTTGTCATTCTACAGACTTCTACAATTTGTTGTCTCCATTACTTAGGTGTGACTGTTTTTATTTTTGTTACCTTCATCATTTGTGAATGACTTGTTCTTATCTTACTTTTTAATCCTTTGTGGGTTTAGGAGGTTTAAGTAATTAATTGTGTTATTTTAGGATTTCCTATGTAGGTGTTCATCCCTTTGATTTTTTCAGAGAGGTGTTCATCCTTTGTGTATTGGTGACAAAAAATGTGTTTTTCATCCTTTGATTTGTTAAAGGAGGTGTTCATCCCGAGTTTTTAAGGAGGTGATCGTGATTGTAATTTGTATACTGAATTTTAAATATAGTGAATTGGGAGTCACTCTTGTGATTAGAGTTGATTGAAAACTGGATGTAGGGTTGACTATATCCGAACTAATATAAATTACTGTGTGCTCTTCTCTTATTTTTATCTCTTTAATAACACCGCATCTTGCATCTACACACTTAAAATTTTCTCTTTATCTATATGATTATATCATTTACGCTTTATTTATATTTTATCTGATAATTAAAATTAAATTAATAAATTATTAGATATCTTAAAATAAATTTTTAATTTAATATTTATTTTAATTCGTGAATCTATTCCCCCTTAATAATTTTTTATTTAAAAGTTTTTATCCTAATCATGATTCAATTAAATCCCGTCCAAGTAAACAGACATGTACACTAAAAAAATTTGATTTTCTATATTTTTATTTTTTTAATCATGTAAATTAGTCTACATTATTATGGCACAGACTATGAAAACTAGCGTGCAAACTTTACATCGAACTGTGCACGTTCAACCTATTTTTTCTACGGTTTGTATAATGTTTGGCACAGAATATTATTATTTTTTATCCATACATAAAAATATTAAATAATCAATAATTAAGAGATAAGTTAAACAAATAATCTAAAAAGTATTAATTATTATTTTTTTAACAGAAAGATGTAAAGTAAAAAAATATTTTTTTATCCTTTAATAATATTTTTATTTTTAATTTAACTGGTTTTTGTCTTTGTATTTGTTATTCTTTCTACTGGATTTTTTTATGTTGTATAGGTTTTGTAAGAAAATAAAATAATAATTATTATTTTTTTGCTCAGTGTGATTTTCGGACATTCCAGTGAAACATGGTTTTATTTCAAAGTAATTTTCAGATTTTTTTAGTAGTTATTTTTCTTGTTTTGTCTTCATTACAATAATACGTCAATAAAAACTTATGTTTACATTTTTTTTTAATATGATATGTGTCGTTTATAGGTTGATGATATCACATAAATAATATATTTTAAAAAAGAAAAGTTATTTAAATAAAATTTTTATTTATATATTTATTTAATTAGTTTTATTTATTATTTATTATTTATATATATAATTATATTATGAACAACACAATTATTTTATAAAAAGTAATTATTATTTTATTTTAATTTTTTTCTTGGTATTCATTCTTTTTTTCTTTTTCTTTCTTTTCATTTCTTTTTTATTTTTTTATTATGTCTTATTCTTCTAATTTAAAATATTATATTAAAATTTAATAAAAACGTTAAAATAATTTTAAAAAATGAAAGTAATAAAATATTTACTTAGAAGTAACTTTTTTAATAAAATAATTTTTAGAAATTACTTAATCCCACTAATCATCATAATCAACCAAATTATAACTATATTAAATTATTAAATAAAAATAAAAATATTTGACATTTTTAATTAGATAAATAATTAATTTATTATGATAAAATAGTTTTAAATTAATTATTTATTATCATAAATAAAATTATTTATTATTATCATAATTTTAAAAAATTAATTAATATTTTTTAATTTTAATATTAATTTTAAAAAAATTATTTTAACATATTTTTAATAAGTTTTAATTTAATATTTTTAATTAAAAGAACAAATGAATGAATAGAAAAAAGAAGAAGTAATAAGTGAATAATAAAAGATAAATAAAGAGAAATAGAAGTGAACGAGAAAAGACAAAAAAAATGATGATGAAGAGAAAAATAAAATAAAATAAAAGAATAAGTAAGAAAGATGAAGAATAACGTATTATAAACATTAAATAAATTTAATTTAAAAATATGTTAGTCTATAAAAATAAAAAAAGATTGACATTTTTGGAAATATATTTTAAAAAAAATTAAAATTTAACAAGATACTGTAAAATGAAATTTAACAAAATCATTTTAAATTATTAAAAAAATATTAAAAATAATAAATATTTATTTAAAATATTTTTATGAAATTACTTTTTTAAACTTACAGACTAACCATAATAACCTATCAAGATTAAGTTATTTAATAAAAAATAAATTAAATTCATAAATGTTTTATATTTGTTAGTTAACTAAGTAATTTATTACAATAAAATAATTTTAAAATTAAATATTCATTTATAATAAATAAATTATTTACTGTTATTATAATTTTAAATAATTAAATTTTTATTGTTAATTTTTAAAAAAATATTTTAATATATTTCTGTTACATTTAAATTTAATATTTTTAATTAAAAAATAAATAGATTAGAAGTAAAAAATTAAAAAATTGAAAAGAAATTATTAATATAGTTTTTATTAATTATATTATTTATTACAGAAAAAATAAGTAAATAAATTAATAAAATAATAATATATTAATAAAATAAAATAAATTAATTTTCTGCGGTCAAACCGTTTTTTCAAATCAAGTACAAAACTGACCAAAACGATCCCTCTAATTCTGCAACACAGTTTGAAATTAATGGTTGAACCTGAAAAAATATTAAATTCCAAATGAAAAATTGATTGCAATTTTGAAAATTCTGAATCTTACGAGTAAAAATGTTCTTGAACAGAGGGCGCAAATTGCTTTGTGCGTAGTCTTGCGGTGGCATTGTCACGTAGCGCAAGAGTAATTGAAGTTTCACCTTTCGTAATCCGTGATGCGACCCATTGTATGAAATCATCCATTACGTAAGCTCATTCCCAGCTAAATGTCCACCCAAACTTCCATGTGGTTATGTCTTCACACCCTTCTCCCGTGGCTTTATATAAACTCACACAAACAATAATAAGCCAAACACTGTCTTAACTCCACTCTCTCAAGCTACCCTCAACAACCATGACTATTTTTCACTTCTTTCTCTTAGCCATCATTCTTTTTCTCTCTCTCAGCATCTTGTCCAAAACAAGAAGGTTCCGGAATCTTCCTCCAGGACCATTCTCTTTTCCTATAATCGGAAACCTCCACCAGATGAAACAACCCCTCCACCGCACGTTCTACGCCCTTTCGCAGAAATACGGCCAAGTCTTCTCCCTCTGGTTCGGTTCGCGCTTCGTCGTTGTTGTTTCATCGCCCGAGGCGGTGCAGGAATGCTTCACCAAAAACGACATCGTCTTGGCCAACCGGCCTCAGTTCCTCTCCGGGAAGTACATCGGTTACAACAACACCACCGTCTCGGTGTCCTCCTACGGCGACCACTGGCGCAACCTCCGCCGCATCATTGCGCTCGAGGTTCTCTCAACGCACCGTTTGAACTCCTTCTCGGAAATCCGAAGGGACGAGATCATGAGGCTCGTGCGAAAGCTCGCTCACGACTCCCGCAACGGCTTCACCAAAGTGGAACTTAAAACAAGGTGAATTTCGTTACTCTTACCACAACAAATGCAATGTTTTACGGAATAATAAATTTTATACCATTTTCTTTCTATTGCACGTTCTTTTATCCAAAAATGTCAATAACTGTTTTTATAATGTTAGAAATCCATCGTAAAACAAATTATAACATATAAACATATTATACAATCTTACAATACAGTTTTGAAAGCTTTGTATAGTTTTATGAGTTTTACAGTGTTGAATTATGCTAATATTTATTCTTTAATGTGAGTGAAAACACTAAAAAATTATCCTAATACGAGATTTGTTGGTTGATTATATGATCAATTATAAAATCATTACTTATCATTTTTAATTTGATTCCAGGTTTTCGGAAATGACATTTAACACTATAATGAGGATGGTGTCGGGGAAAAGATACTACGGTGATGACTGTGATGTGAGCGATGTGGAAGAAGCAAACCAATTCAGAGATATCACTAAAGAGTTGGTGATGATAGGAGGGGCGAATAACCCTGGAGATTTCTTGGCTTTGCTGAGATGGTTTGATTTTGATGATTTGGAGAAGAAGCTAAAGAGGATTAGTAAGAGAACCGATGCATTCTTACAAGGACTCATTGACGAACATCGAAATGGAAAGCACAGTGCCAATACTATGATAGCTCATCTCCTAACTCAACAACGATCACAACCTGAATATTACACCGATCAAATCATCAAAGGACTTGCCCTGGTAATTAATTAATAATTTATTTATGTCCATCTTTCATTTAATTATGAAATATATATATATATATATATATATATATATATAGAGAGAGAGAGAGAGAGAGAGAGAGAGAGAGAGAGAGAACAGAGATTTCTTTTCTGATGAGATTTCTTAAAAAAAACAACAACTTTAAAATACATATAAAAAGTAAAATAAAAAAGGAAATACCTAATTATTAAATATCTTGCGGTGATTATAGGTATCTGGAATGATAGATCTTTCAGCTTTGATGAATATTTATAGTAGGTAGGTAAAGGCCGCTCGAAGACATTTAAGATTGGGATAAGAAAAATTGGTGGGGAAAAGAAGATAAGAATACACGGATCATTAAGGATAGTAGTTGTTCATGTGGCCCCAAGAGACCTGAGTGTTGACTTGGTGTTAGCATGCATGGTCAGAAAACAAATAAGAAAATTGTTACACCCATGTACTTACTTTGTACCTTTCTTCTCTAAATCAGTGAATTCATATGTTTGTTAGTAAAATTTACATAATTTTATTTTATTTAGTATTAATATTTTAAAATATATTCAGTTTAATTTTATTTGAATAACTTTTCTTTCACTTTACAGGTTATGTTACTTGCAGGAACAGACACATCAGCTGTAACTTTAGAATGGGCAATGGCTAGTTTATTAAACCATCCAGAAATATTAAAGAAGGCAAAAAGTGAATTAGACATCCAAATAGGTCAAAATTGTCTAGTAGATGAACCTGATATTCCTAAACTTAGTTACCTTCAAAACATTGTTAACGAGACACTTCGTTTGCATCCTGCTGCTCCAATGTTGGTACCCCATTTGTCTTCAGAAGATTGTAACATAGGAGAATATAATCTTCCACAAAACACCATTGTGTTAGTCAATGCTTGGGCTATTCATAGAGATCCAAATTTGTGGAGTGACCCTACACATTTTAAGCCTGAAAGGTTTGAGAATGAAAGTGAAGTTAACAAGATGCTTCCATTTGGGTTAGGGAGGAGGGCTTGCCCTGGATCAAACTTAGCTCAACGCACGGTCAGCTCAACTTTGGCCTTGCTGATTCAATGTTTTGACTGGAAAAGAACTAGTGAAGAAGAAATTGATATGGTTGAAGGAAAAGGCATCGTTGTATCTAGAAAACTTCCTTTAGAAGCTATGTGCCAAGTCCGGCAATCACCAGCAATTAGGGATATTTTCTAGTGTGCCATGTTCTTGATGAAGTTATGAAAAATATGCATAAAAGAAATAATAATAATAGTACTTGTTTTTAAAGTAAATCATTGGATCAAGTCTAATATTTACACTACACCAAATATCCCTTTAGTTTTGAGTTATCATTATATTATTTCTATTAGATAGGAATTATTAAAAAAATATGTTCATTTTATTGATATGCATCAAATATTACTAGAATATCTATATAAAGGTGCAATAAAATTGAGTGGAAGTAAAATATAAATTTAGAGCTAAGCTTTATTCTTCACACAAAAATTGATCTGAAAAATAATGTCTTTGAAACGCAATAAATCATAAAGTGTAGGTGATGCCAAGTAATTCTTTCCTTCTTCATGTCAATCTTTTGGCAAACAAAAGTAGAATCTAATTTACATAATAAAAGTATGGAACGAGATAAAAGAAATGTCTATTGTTTTAAAGTATTTTAAAATTCGTTGTCTAATCCTAGAACAATTCAAAAATACAAATTTAGCATGGTTTATAATTATTTTATTCAATTTTGTTTGGTGAACGATAACTTAAAAGGGAAATAATATTCATGCTAAGTCGCCACTCAAAAATTTTTAGTTGTTATATATAAATTAAGTTCGGTATAAAAAACACATGGTATAAAAATAGGCTTATATCGATGTATTATTCTGGAAGGCTTGAGATATATTACAAAGTTAAAAAAAATGTAATGAATGATATTTATTTTCTTCCGATTACGGTCTATTTAATAAAGTAATAATTTTTTTAAAATAAAAATGAAAATAATATTATTTTAATAAAAATACGAAATTTTTTAATATTTACTTATTTTATGAATTATTATTTTATATCATTAAATTACTTATTATTTTATATTAATAAACCTATTAATAAATCACTTAAAAAGAAAAAAATTAATTTTTATTTGAGATTATAAAGGTTTAAAATAAAAATTAATTTTATTAATATAAATTAAATTAATTTTTAACTTTTATATAAACATTTTTAATTAATTATTTTGATATAAATATATTATGGTAAAAATTTTAATTAAATTAAAATTATTAATTAGCATGGTTAATATAAAAAAATTATGTTTCATTTAATAAGTTAAGTCATTAATTTTCTTTTATTTAGTCAAGAGAAAAAAAGGCTAGGCCGTGAGAGAACCTGCTTTTCCTATCCTACACAATAAGTCTCATGGTAAAAGAATAATTTAAAAGATGTTTTAAATAAAATGGGTTACAAAGCATTTTGTTCTAAATTAAATTAAGTGTGTTTTGGTTTAATGTGTAACCTAAACACATGACTTAACAGGGATGAACCTATATAAAATTATTATTTTTAAAATAAAAAAAGTTATATATTTCTTAATATATATATATATATATATATATATATATATATATATATATATATATATCAATCTTTTATATCTAAAATTAAATTTATTTCATCAACATAATTTAATTTTTTATTTTTATTCAAAAATATTTTTTTAGATTTTGTTTAAATTTTTATATAAAGTAGATGCAATTTTTTAATTAAGTAAAAAATATCATTAACATGTGAATATTAAACTAAAATAAATTATAATTCATTTTAAAATATAGATAAGATTACATCATCAATTTTTTTTACTTAATTCATACACCTAAATTGAATGGAACCTAAGAGTCTATTTTAACCATCCTATCAATAAGACATGTTTAAAAATAAAGATACATAAAATAAATTATTCAACGATCGTAACAAAAATTTACACTACAAGAAATTTTGATATTACCGACGGTCAAAATCCATCGATAATAACAAAAATCCGTCGGTAAAATCCGTCAGTAATATTTTTATTATTTATTAAATATTTTACTTATATAGATTATTTATTTTATAGAATACCCCTTCCCTTTATATTTTTATTATTTATTATTTTTCCCTATTACAATTTTATAGGCTTCAATTATTATCAGATTAAGAGAATTGTCATTGGCAGGATTCGAACCAAGCACTTAGAGTTAGAGGCTGATACTCCAACCACTAAGCTACTAGAATTTTTCGATAATAATTTACAAATAAATTATATTTATATACAAATATATTTATATACAAATATATTTATATACAAATATATTTATATTTTTTAATATATTTATATATATTTATATATATTTATATATTTATATATTTATATATTTATATATTTATATATTTATATATTTATATATTTATATATTTATATATTTATATATTTATATATTTATATATTTATATATATATATATATATATATATTTATATATTTATATACAGTTAAATATTTTTATATGTTTTTATATATTTATATATAATTAAATATTTATTTTTTAAAATTATTTAATTTAAGAAATTATTATAAATTAATCTAATTTTGATTAAATGAAATTATTAAATAAAAAATATTAAATTTTTTAATTAGTTGAATATTTACTAATTGATAATTTACAGACGGAAATATCCGTCGGTAATTTACAGATGAATTTACCGAACGGATATATCTATCGGTAATTAATTATTAATTTATCGACAGATTTACCGACGGATATATCCGTCGATAAATTCATCCGTCAATTACCGACGGATTTATCGACGGATATATCCGTCGGTAACTAATTATTATTTTACCGACGGATATATCCGTCGGTAAGATCAAATTCCACAAATATTTTATATCCGTCGGTAATTTCAGTTGGTAATAATTATTTTCCGATCGGATACAAATTCGTCAGTAAATATCTATCGATAATACGCGATTTTCTTGTAGTGTTAATTTAATAAAAATGATTAATTTAAATGCTAAATTTCATAATCAAATGTACCATCCATTGATTTTTAAATACTTTTTAAAATTTTTTTGATTAAATTATTATTTTATCCTAAAATTAATCAATGAATTAATTTTAGAAAAATGGTGAATGAAGTACCAAAATTTTGATTAATTTGAGTTAGATGGTTATGTAATTTTGAGTTACTAAATCCATGAATATAGAGTTGATTATGTGTTAAAGCAATACTTAAACATTAAAGACATTATTCACTGATCCCAAAAAAGGATTTGTCAAACCATGTGTTTAATATATTAGTGAAAGAAAATTTAAAGGTATTCATAGTACATGAGTAATATAAGAATCTATTTTATGCCTAAATTATATTTAATATAAAGAATAAGACATAAATTTTTAGTTTATCTTATTGCTTCTTTTACAAAGGACTGGTTATATTGTTCGTCCCCTGGTTCCATTACAACTTGGAATAGGTAAAAGAGGATGTTCTTAAAGAAGTATTTTCCTACCTCAAGACCTACTTCCATTAGAAAAGAGATGTGTGACATTAGACAATTGGACTAAAAGAGACTATCTACAAGTTGTCCTTATCATCAAATAAGTGAACAACTCATCCAATACTTTTATGAAGGTTTAACCATCATGGATAAGAGTATGATTGATGTAGTTAGTTGTGGTGCACTTGTGAACAAAACTTCCATAGTGGCAAGATAATTAATTGAGACAATGACCACCAATTCACAATAGTTTACGACAAGAGGCAACATAATTGTTAGAAGTATATTTGAGTTCAAATAGGTTTTTCTATGGAGCACCAACAACTAAAGAACAAAATCGATAACCTTCCATTTATAGTTAAACAATTAACACAACATCAAGCTCAAACAAACTCTCCACCACAAGCCTTACATCAAAATTTCCCTATGGTTGGAGTTGTGCGTGAAATATGCACTTCAAGTACATACGTTACACATGAATGTTCATCCTTACCTAGCATCCCACAACAAGATTCCCAAGTACGTGTTGCTACACATTTTTGGAAGTTTCCTCCTGCACAACATGTTGATTTGAGCTATAATAGATACAATCCAAATTGGAGAAATCCTCCTAACTTGAAATGGGGAAATCAAGTTAATATCATGTAACCATAACAACCTAATTATGTTTCTTAGCAACTAAATTATCTATCACCATCTTAACAACCATATTATCCAATGCAGTGAACTAAGGTCAGTCCAAACATTCAAATCAATTGCCCTCCCAAACAAACTGTGATAAATCTAAAAAATGTGAGTTTTATGATACTTAGAACAGGTAAGAACTTGTTGGACCCTCTCTTGGTGGAGAATTCACAACAAAAATATGAACAGGAAGTTGGAAACTATGAGCCAATAATTGTAATCATTCCTTTAGTCAATACTGAAGTTGACTTCCCTATTCAAGGAAAGATTCATGTTCCTTCCTTCAAACTAAAGGTTATGTGCAATCAAAGAAGGGGGAGGAGTTAGACAAAGATATTATGTAGGTTTTCCAGAAAATAGAGGTCAATATCCTTTTGCTTAAAGTTATAAAACAAATCCTAAAATATGCTAAATTATTTAAGGATTTGTCTACTCACAAGAGGAAATTGAAGGTAAATGTGAAGATTGAACTAGAAAGAAATGTTTTTGCTTTGTTTGTTGTATCTCATGCTTCAATACCAGAAAAATGAAAAGAATAAAGAGATTTTACCATTCCATGTGTCATTGACAACAAGTTTGAAAATGATATGTTTGACCTTGGAGTATCAATAAATGTTATGCCTTTGATTGTTTATTCTTCATTATCTTTGGATTCAATGCAAAATACAAGTATGGTTATTCAATTAGGCAATAGGAGCACAATGCAACCAACTAGTCTTGTTGAAAATGTCTTGGTAAGGGTGAACAACTTGATATGTCCAATTAATTTTTACATTTTGAATAGGGGAGGGTAAGTATTCTTTTTATTATCCTCTTATTACTTTGAGAAGACCATTTCTAAAGACAATTCACACTAAGATAGATGTGTATGCTAATACTTTAACCATGGGTTTGGTGATAACATTGTGAAATTTAACATTCTTAATGCTTTGAAACACACTCAAGATGATCATTCTATGTTTAGGGTAGATATCATTGATGAAATTATTGTTGAA